TTCTGAAGCGTTCAAAAGTTCTCCTTTCGGAGGGGTCATCTTCTCTATCTGCCTGTCTGCCCGTTGTCCACTAATCAGCGTCAGCCGCGGGACCGACACCGCGCGGCTTATGCGGATTGCAACACCGGGCGTCAAGTTTGTCGCAAGATTTGTGAGCGCGCATGCTCAAAATCATGTTACATGATTTTTCCACTAATAGACTCTGACTGAATGTTGAACATTTCAAGACGAGCACGGGGCAGCCTTGTCGATCCAAATTTCGGATCACATCTTGATCTACGATCTACGTTCAAGTGAGTCTCAATATCTCTGAAGAAGATAGGAAAAGTCAGGCCTAGTTTCTGAATTCTGTCGGTTCAGAAAGAGTCCGATAAACCATTGTAAAGTGAAGAGCGCTAGTAAGTTGTTCCATGCAGTTCAACACCTCATTCATTCCATTCAACACCTCATTTCTGCATTTGATTGACTTAAAATGCAAACAGAATTGTCCTCGCAGTGGCTTCTGGTTTCTGTTCTAGTTAAAAGGCATCAAAACACTAAAAGGAAGGGCAGCGCCCTTCGTTAGCAAGCAAGTTATATCTGGTTATTTTTTTTTTGGGTGGGGAGCTTTCAACATCACGGACCTTTGTCAACCCTGTCCCCCCCTCTCTTTGACAAGCCTCGTAAGCAAGCGCGCTCTATCCTTGGGGGGGGGGGGGGTTGTCGCCATTAGGGGGCTTTTGGGATCCCTGCGCTCCCCGTTAGCAAGGTTCTGGCTACGCCCCATACCTACATACAAAAACAGATCGTCAGCTACATCGAATGAGGGGCAGTTGAGTGCCCGGTGGACTAATTCATGCCTTCATGCCTAAGGCAGGCAGCTTCCCGAAAGCTTTTCTGCTGTAGTGTGGTGCAAGGGGAGATGATTCTGGTATAGATACTGTTGTAGGTGTCCAATCTATTCAACACCAATAATAAGTGGGGATGCTGACCCATAAACATGCAGAAAACCAGCAATACGGTCAGTTCGCAGCCGGCCACGCGCGGACCGCCGGGCCGGGAAGCGAAGTGGCCGCCGACGGCGGATGAGAGAGGGTTGGGATGGAGAATATCTGGAAGAAGAGTGGAGAGTGACCTTTATTCCGTTACTTGGTTTTTACAGGGGAAGCTCCGGTTTGATGGTTTTTGTCACATTGTTTTTGGCAATTAGTGTCTGAAGCTTCCCAATTCGCTTCCGCCTAAAACGCTTCAACAAATATTTTCTCTTGAGAAGCAGCCGGCGAAATCTAGGCACATGAAAACTCTTCCGCGCTATTGGCCATCGATTCGCATTCAAAATTTTGACCAACCTATGCCCAGGCAAAATTTTGGCATCTACCCTAAAAAGGCAGATGCTTCCCCAATGACACAAAATGCCTGCCCGCTCGTGCAATTTCGCCTCCCCGGGAAAAACAATGTTGAAATGAATGGATAATCTTAGGAAGCTGGATAGTCTTACTTTCCGAGTGGCATAGATGATCTGAATAGGCAAGATTGGGCACCAATGAGGAGACAGCTGTGGATGTATATTTAGCAACTGTAATATCCTCCATATTTGCCCCAGGTCACCGGGCCTGCTTCCTAGTAAAAGTATACCCCGAGTCTGGCCCCACACTTTTGGAACGTTCCTACGCTTATGGCAACTGCGTACACACTATAGCATAGCTCAGCAAACCAGCCAGCAACGAAGATCAGTCGTCAGCCGACAAAATAGGTGCAATTTTGTTCACATGAATCCCTGACTGCGTAGTACTGGATGCGGCCGGCCGGCCGGAATCGCCGTGGCCAACATACAGCAGCCAGGGAAGAGCCATCAGCCAGCTATGCCATTCGGAAATGCATATAATTGTGCGCTTAAAGAGCGGCCGTGTACATTGAAGTGTCCCACCGTAGCGCTGCCATCTGACCCTGAAATATGGTTGTGACCCGACGGCGTCTATGCCATTGGTGTAACCCCGTGACCGTGCATCTCTTAATGCTGGCGGGCCGGCTGCGGCGGCGACTTGCAAGGGTACAGCACTTAATCGAAGGACTTGTTGTCGAGCGCGGCGGGTGCGACCCGGTGCACATGATAACACTATGGGAGCACTTTTGGGCAGTAACGTAAATCGGTCGTCGGCCAATAACACCGGTTTCGTTCACACCATGACGGCGCGGTACTAAAGGCTGCCGCACGGCCGGTAGCGTGCTGGCCAGAATACGGCAGCCATTGAAAATACCCACAATCGTGCACGGCTGGTTCGACCTTGTGCACATTGATAGCACTCTGGGAGAACCATCTGTCGACGGCATAAGTCGACCGCCGGCCAGCACCTCTTTTGTTCACGACGGCACATTTCTGCGTGAGACCCCCCGGGCGGTAGAGTGGTGGCCAACATGTGAGCGCCCGGAACAAATGCCCATAATCGCGCAGAGACCGCGCAACCCTGGGCATTTGATAGCGCTGCTGCAGGACTATTACCCTCAGAAGGAATCTGCTTGTTGGCCGACGGCATTTATTTATTAGGTCAGCCCAATTACAGTGTTTCATTCAATGCTGGGTGACCGGCGCAGCAGGGATTGGCAAAGTGGCTAGATTGCGTTCTGATTGCGAATGAGATCACCGTTGCGTTCTGATTCACTAGAGTGCGTTCTGAGGTATGTTTTGGGCGGTTGGGACCAACACGGTGATAAACGTCAAGTACGTCCAGACACCAGAGCTTATTGTTGTCTGTTTGTACTGCGAAAATACATGGAGACATTCTCAGCTTTTCTAATTCAACATAATGTATTTCTGTATGAGCATCGTATCCGAGGGTCCTCAACGTCCGTGACCAGTGCGGGCAACCGAACACACGCGTGGGCAACTCAGTGCGTGCCTGAAGCAGCACAAAAAGCAGCAAGTAAAACTTAGACACGCGAGCCAGCCTCAGTCCATCTTCCCCGGACGCCGATCTGTGTCCGGCCGCAGGCGCCGCTCTGAACACTGCAGGGTACCCACTGTGCTCACCTGCCGGCTGATGGATGGCTGCCCTTCTCCAGTGAACACTGCTGTGGCGTGCGCGCACGCCGGCGCTGGTATCCCTTCCGAGCAGGGTGAGATGGATGGACCTTTCTTGTCGCGTTCGTTGTGGTGGCGTGCCGTTTGGGCCAGCGGACCGTCGCTTTGACGGATCATTGTCAGGTGGCAGTAGAGAAGGTCGGGTGGTGTGTACGTGTGGGGCGTTGTGTAGCGATGTTCGTTCGCGCTTCAGCATGGGTGCCTTTGTTCAGTGGCGTAGCCAGAATTTCGCCCAGGACGGGGCCAGATGAGGTCATACGGGATCCTCTCACGCACTAAGGTCCCTCATTCTGCAGTAACATCTAATTTAGATCCTGTCTTCCGTCTTCGCTGCTATAAGTGTCCCGTTTGTTTTCTTATTCGGAGGTCTTGTAAGACTCGGGATTCTCCTTTGATGCATTGAGTCTCACTCCTCGGTGATGCAGAAGCCCTGCGGGCGGCTTCAACCACCAAAGAGTATTGGAGTTTTCGGCTCCAGGGGACTCCTGCCAGCCCCAGGGGGACGATGACCCCAAAAGCCCCCAGGCTACGCCACTGCCTTTGCTGCCGCGTTTATTGGGTGAGTATGAAATAGTTGTAAGTCCGTTTCCCTGGGGTTGATTGTTGTCTGTCCGCATGATATCGTGACTTTTCGTGCCCCAATTAAAGGATTTTTGCCGTTGTTAGTGGCTGCTAGTCGTACGCTAAATGTGGGGTCGCAATCACATTGACAGTCGAGAAGCCGTGAGAACGTCAGTCAGCAAGAAGCATGACACTTATCCGCTCCACTTAATCACTCGATGAAGTAGCCACTACCCAGTCGTTTTTTATTGCATAGCTTCTAGGAAAAAATATTTCTATGAGCCATGAGCGGAATCACATTCTTTGCAAATGAAATGAGTTGAATCGCGAGCCAATCATTTTTAAGAGCTTTGTGTCAGTGAGCTATATGGCTCATATTAAAATGGCAGCATGAAGAAGCACAACACACCCCAGACAAATTAACAGACAATTTCAGGGTATTAAAATGAACAGCATGCAGCATTAGTCGCAGAGCTTTTGGTGATTCAGCACAAAGTGTGTTAATGTAATTTCTAAACACCAAGCACAGCTTCGTTGGTCCTGATCTCAGGCTTGCCAATTCGGAGCCAGGAACCAGAGGATGCTACGTAGTAAAGACATCCTGCATTTTTACATCCTGTACTAAAATCAGTGAAAGATTTTCCGCTATCTATAAAACCCAAGGGGTAGTCATATTTGTCATTGTCAGTTGTCGCAGCAACGAGGTAACCCATACCTGACTCCTCATTCACTACTCGAACTGCGGTAAGCATGGTATTGGTGAGGCGATGTGAAATAAACAGCAGCAGTGGCAAGATCGTCTCATCTCATATGTGGATTGTATGTCACGGAATGTGACCTCCCGGGTACTGCATCACGAACTATTTCCAGTTCTAAAAAGGGTAAATAAGTCGATTTCTTGTTCTTTTTAAATACGTTTGATGTAAATATGTCTATTTCAGAACAACAAATAATTTATGCTTTCAATGAGCAGTCTTGATAGGAAGTCTTAACTCTTCACGACTTTTTCTTAGCGCCTAATTAGCTTCGTCTTTGTTGTATGAGGACGCGCAGGTCGCCGACGCGTGGGAGGGGGAAGGCGCATAGCATTAGGCGTGTAGGGGGCAGTGCGATGTATGAGAGCCCTATTCTCCGGGCCTTTTTACGTGGTCCGTGTAAGTCCCTATCGTTTCCTTACCTTTCGTCGCCTTTCCCTCGCCCTGAGCCCTTGCTAGGCGCGTCAGCGTCACACTGTGGTCAGGGCCGGCCAGCAGCCGCTCAAACCGAGCTTGCTCTTGAAAACAGGCAGCGAGTGAGTCCTACGCGTGGTGATGGCCATAACAAGCCTATGATTGTTCGAACTGCCTGTGTTGGCTCTTATCACAAGAATTAAAACATGGTATTACGAAGATGTTCTCACGTACATGCGACCTTTATTCTGGCATCTTTCTCACCACAACACTCATGCCAACACAACAATAGGAACAGCATAACATCCACGCTGACAACGCGGGATGAATGTACCCACACACTACCACGGAACACTAAAATAATATCAGTATTGCTGAGTTGTTAAATTAGGATGAGTATTATCTGCCGCTATGCACAGTTCGCAGGTTTCACGTACTCTTTGAAGTGCTCGTAAAGTGACGCGCAGCGCATGCACAAAACAAAACAACGTAACACTGGTCAGGGTTTGGGCGAGCACGGAGCCTCCCGGTCCCAGTCTGGTCCGGCTACCGGGCCTATCCAAGAAAGCGATCAGTGCTCACAGGAGAGAATCAAGGGCACAAGAAAACGGAGACGTCTTGTCGAGAAAGGAACACAGGCCTGCATTACGGTATACTGCACTTCTCCTTCGTGGCCTCACCAACGAGTGCGTTGGGTCAACTGCGCGCACTGTGTCGACGAAAGGGGTCGAACATTTCTGTCACGCCTCTCCGAGTCGGGGCTAATCCGGAGCAAAACTGAACATACGTTAAAAATATAAAGCATGCGGCCAGTCCTTCATGATGTAGGCCAGACATAAATCAGTCAACTCTATACAGCGAGTTGATGTTGATAGCCATGGTAAACGGAGCAGTGGACATTGTAGCATGATGCACGTTTAGAAGCGGACCTTTCTCTTTCCTCCAGCGTGCGTAACGTGACGATTGGGGATGCATGGCGTGGCAAATAAAATCGGGAAATGTACCAGCACTTCATGCCATGGGTAGCCGTCGCTGGACGCCACCAATTTTCACGAGCGACGACGCTGTTGTATTCTTCACATCTGACCCTTACGTCAGGGGTTTCTTGCACAGGACTTCTGACATTTCCACAAAAGCGGAACAGAGCACCGGCCATGAGAGCTGCCATATTTCAGCTGGCATGCCTATGTGGGACCCCGGGCCAGACCAGGCCACCAGGGGTTCGCCGTTATCAGCCGGTGCCACCGAGAGAACACTGATGCAGCGCGGAGTATGGGAATGTCTCGGGGATGTAAAGCTTGTTCCACCGGATCTACCACATCGGCCGATGCTTAGATCTTCTCCTCCGGGTCGAGGTGCATCAGGGGCTCCAGCAGACCCGGGTTGGAGCTCTCTGGAACAGGAGCCCGCATTTGATGGTGAAACACTTCAGAGCTGGAAAGCACTGGAAATGAGACCGGCCACCGTGACACACTGACATGGCGTGGAAAATGCTGAGAAAAGACGTGGGAATGCTGCCATGGCGAGCGTGCCTCAATGGGAACATGTTCAAGATGTGCCTGCTTTGAGACAGATTGGTGCGGCCACTGCAACACGTGTCACGCCACAATTCGTAGTTATGCACGTGAATACGATCAAAACCAAAACAATCGCTCTGAACATAAGTTTCCCTTCAGGAGAGGCGACCACGAGGCACCGCACAGCCCACATTACCCCAGCAGCTCCCACGGCTGGGCAGCCCCGCCGCGTGCCGCACCGAGACCCGGCCCGCCAGCCGCGCACGTGCGCTGCCGAGCGGCCGGCGCCGCGCCGCGCTTACCCACGTCTGAGCTGGGCGCCACGGCGAACGAGAGGTGGTAGTCGAGCTTGGGCGGTGTGAGCCGCTGGCTGGCCGGCAGGCCCTGGTGGCTGACGTAGCTACCTGGCGACCACACCAGATCGGCGTCTGAGGAGCACACGTCTGATCGAGCACACGTCTGGCGACCACGCCAGATCGGCGTCTGAGGAGCACACGTCTGATCGAGCACACGTCTGGCGACCACAACCAGATCGGCGTCTGAGGAGCACACATCTGATCGAGCACACGTCTGGCGACCACAACCAGATCGGGGTCTGAGGAGCACACATCTGATCGAGCACACGTCTGGCGACCACACCAGATCGGCGTCTGAGGAGCACACGTCTGATCGAGCACACGTCTGGCGACCACACCAGATCGGGGTCTGAGGAGCACACATCTGATCGAGCACACGTCTGGCGACCACACCAGATCGGCGTCTGAGGAGCACACGTCTGATCGAGCACACGTCTGGCGACCACGCCAGACCGGCGTCTGAGGAGCACACGTCTGATCGAGCACACGTCTGGCGACCACACCAGATCGGGGTCTGAGGAGCACACATCTGATCGAGCACACGTCTGGCGACCACACCAGATCGGGGTCTGAGGAGCACACATCTGATCGAGCACACGTCTGGCGACCACACCAGATCGGCGTCTGAGGAGCACACGTCTGATCGAGCACACGTCTGGCGACCACACCAGATCGGGGTCTGAGGAGCACACATCTGATCGAGCACATGTCTGGCGACCACACCAGATCGGCGTCTGAGGAGCACACATCTGATCGAGCACACGTCTGGCGACCACACCAGATCGGGGTCTGAGGAGCACACATCTGATCGAGCACATGTCTGGCGACCACACCAGATCGGCGTCTGAGGAGCACACATCTGATCGAGCACACGTCTGGCGACCACACCCAGATCGGGGTCTGAGGAGCACACATCTGATCGAGCACACGTCTGGCGACCACACCAGATCGGCGTCTGAGGAGCACACGTCTGATCGAGCACACGTCTGGCGACCACACCAGATCGGGGTCTGAGGAGCACACATCTGATCGAGCACATGTCTGGCGACCACACCAGATCGGCGTCTGAGGAGCACACATCTGATCGAGCACACGTCTGGCGACCACACCAGATCGGGGTCTGAGGAGCACGGCAGGCAGGTGCAGTGGCGCGGTGAGGGCCCGGTGAGCACCCCGGCGAGGGTGCTGCCGGCCCCACCGCTGGGGCCCAGGCGGACGGCCAGGTCGAGGGAAGCCATGTCGGGACCCGGGTGGTGTTCAGGAACGGAAGAAATAACTAATAGGAATGAGTCACGGTCTCGAGACAGTGATACGAGTAGACGTCACTTAACATTGTAGGGAACAGACACAACACATTTTGTGCGAAGGTGAACGCGGGGCAGGAAAATTGTTCACGGACACAACACGCTGACACGAGTCACGGACACGAGACACCTCACGCCCTTAAAAGGCACCGCTGGATTGGGTGCTGAACGCTAATGGTCATGCAGAGACATGCTGTATTACTTCAGATTTAGTTTGAGATGCGCTACATTTCTCTTCTTGGTTGCAAAAATTATTATTTGGTAGCCATTCGGCCCAATGGGCTGGCCCTCCTTCCACATGAAGGCAATCACGTCATCTTTTATCTCGCGTCTCAGTGTACGCCGCCGACATTGTTATGCAATGTTCATGGAGTAAATTAGCGGTGAATGAGGGCGTGCGTCGGCCGACTGCCAATTTCATCAGAACCAGATGGGATTAGCGGAATAATAAAGCGATTGGCCTTCGACTACACTGCTATGAGCCTTCAATGCAGTAGACAATATAAAAAAAAACGCACAAGGAATTTTGTGGACGTCGGGGACGACTGTGATACATGTGCGCCAGTGACCAGACCACCGTCACTCATGTGCAGTAACTTAACATCTTCCAGCGCATGGACGCATTGTGATGCAGGCCAGGCAGGTCGGCCACCTTAGCTGTCGTTACAGAGTAGCGTGTTCACCACAGACACTGTTCTGTCTACGTTCACCATACGCACCACAACCAGCACGCAACAGCAGCACGATGCGCTTTGTCGCACCCGTGATGCCACAGAAAGCCAGCCCATACGATCACCACAGATCGCCGCGGGTGCTTACCTTTGATCTTCATGCCGTTCTGGTATCGCTTCTGCCTGGCTCGCGAGTTCTGGAACCAGACCTGGATGACGCGCTTGGTGAGGCCGGTGACCTGGGCGATCCGCTCCAGGTCGTGACCGTCTGGGTTCGAGTCGAGCTCGAAGTTGGCCTGCAGGATCTGCAGCTGCTCGTCCGTGAAGGTGGTCCGCACCCGCTTCGATTTGTGCCGCGCCCCCGTCGTGCCGTCCTCCGCTCTCTGCGGGCGCGGCGGGCGCGTCAGGCACGCCTGGTATGTCAGGGACAGTTCACCCAGAGGTACTGTGCGTCAGGGAAACCGATGTGAGAGTACGTTAAACTTTATCGTGACGCAAACGCACGGTTGACCGTGACGGATATCGGGATGCGGGGACGTTTGGAGATTGCGTAACACCGACACGGCTCCGGTCACGGTCAGGTTTGCTCGGCTGCTGCTCTGGCTGGTTCGCGCTTTTAAAAGCTGAACGGATGTATGTTCCACACCAGGTTGGCTAGACCAGCCCTGGTTGTAGCGCATGCGGGCGGCATGATGCAGCGCAACGGACAATGCCACGCTAAGTACAACGATCTTTCTATCTCGATGGCCTTCAAACAGATCGCGAGGGGAGGCTACAATGCCGTCACGGGCCGCGGCCCCCGATGATCACAATCATGGGCCGCTGATAGACCCATCACGGGCTTAGGACGAGCCCGCCCGCCCCACGGGCCGGCGGCAGCTGAACTGGCCCCGCGAGTAATCCCCGCTCTGTCGGATCCGCCGCCGAATCCCGCTCCGTAAAAACGACACCAATCAAAAACAATCCTCGGCCACCGGCCGCACGCCTGTTTACCCCTTTGAGCGCGGTCCGCACAAAGCCGCACAACCACTGCGACACACATGATCCTCCGAGCGGGGCCGAGCACGCTCAGAGGGGCGCGCGCGGGCGGCGCCGGCGCGCGGCTGTGGGGCGGGCGGCGCCGCTCCACGCGCACGGCGCTGAATGGGCGCCGGAGCGGGCGGCGGCGCGCGCTCATCAGCGGCTCATCCGCCGCACGTGCCGCCGCCAAAACACGCTAGCACTGGCGACGGCGCGCGCCACTCGACGGCCGCTCCCATCTCACGGCCGGGCGCGCGCGCCGTCGGCGGCGGCGGGGAGGAGAGCGAGGCGCCGGCCGCCGGCCGCCGGTCGGCGCTGACACAATGTGGCGGGGGGCGCCGCCGAGAGGCGCGCCGCGTGCGGCACGCGGCACAGGCAGCGGGGGTCATGGGCTGTCGCCGCGCAGGGTAAACGGGCGGCCCCGCCCCCCGCTGCGCCGGCATGCAGAACACCAAAGTGGACGCCGAGTTGGGAATCGCGGTGCGCGCCATGTGTTTTTTAGTTAGAAAACAACTTTGACGTCCAGTGAAAGTTCTTGCAGGCGTAGGGTATGTGGGTTTGTGATCATAATAACGGGTGGAATGTAAATCAAGGTAAGAGCGGTATCGCCAGTAGCATCATTGTAAGAGCATGGTAAGGAAAGTTGTGAAATCGCACGTTCAATCTCAAGGGGTTCATCTGTTCAGATCCTGCCTGATCTACAGTTCAGAATGCACATCTGCCGCCGCTCTGTGTAGTTTCCGCATGTTACAAGAGGCAGCGGAGTCTATCGCTGTTAGGTAGGACAACACACCAGCAGCCCCCTCCCCTCCCCCTCCTCTTGTCAAACCTGCTGTGGCTGCATTTATGACCAACGCAAGGCACCGAAACAGCGCCGTTTTAAAGCCCTAGCCCACAGGCACGAGGCCTGCGCTCCACATCTGCGCAGCAGCCCCCCCCCCTCCCCCCGCCGACTAACCATCATTGCTGGTGCAGCCTCCGTCCAGCATCTCCTGGTAGTGCGCTTTGCAGAGCACCCGGTTGTCGTGCAGGCCGAACTCCTCGCCGGTGCTGAGCTGACGCTTGCACGCGTCACACGCGAAGCAGGCCAAGTGGTAGACGTTGTTGCGCGCGCGGCGCACCCAGTCAGAGGCGGTGATGCAGCGCGTGCACTTGGAGCAGGACACGCTGAAGGACCTGGCGGAAAGGGAGCAAACACGCTAAAGGGGCTACGTTATGGGGATGAATGATTAAGACGCATCAAATAATGTGACAGGCAGGCAAAGCACGATAAATGAATATGACGGAAAGCACGTGGCATGCTTAAGCAGCTCTTGAAAATAGCTCTTGAAAAAACCCGTGTGTCAATAATCTGTGAAAAATGATATCTTGCCGCAAAATTTATTAATATAACGATAAAAATGTTCTGGGAAGTTTGGTTCATTCTTGACGTAAAAGACGGCAACAGATACTGGCGAATCACCAATGTTTTGTTACTTTAACCAGAACGAGTTCCTTTCAGCTGGATTGACGTTGTTGCGGTGGGGGACAATTAACGTCCAATATCGCTACCCTGCGTAGAACGCATAGACTGTGACGTCGTGGGGGAGGGCAGGGGAGCAAACCTCCCAAAAGTCTGACAGCGTAAATGCCGACAGCTGCTCCGCACTATTCCAACAAATCTCTCCCATTTCGGCCTCTATTCTCACACGGCCGTCACGGCCTCTAACCAGCACCGAGCCAACTCGATGGCAGCCACTTGACATCGCTCACTTGATGTAGTCGTCGCGGCAGAAGACGTCGTCGCCCTTGATGAAGCAGGACTGATGCTGCTCGAGCGAGGCCAGGCAGACGGAGCAGCGCAGGCAGCTGACGTGCCAGCTGGCCTGGCTCACCTGCAGCAGGTACCGGTCGCTGATGGGGTCGTGAACATGCCGTGCACACCGTCGGCTCCGTCTGCGGCACAAGCGGCGCGCCCGTTACACACGTGGAGGATGCCGCTGACGTGGCGGCGGGGCGGACGTGGCGCACGGGGCAGGTGTCTGCTTCACACCGATAGCGCCTCGTGCGAGGCACCACGTGGGCGAGCGCCGCGTGCCGTGGCTCTAACTACGGTAATATTTGAAAGGTTCCGCACCAAACACTATCATTCAGTCTTCATTGACACATAGAGTATGTGACCAGCAAAGCACGCACAATGCAGACGCGTAGGCCGAACCTTTGCTCGGGCATGCCACAGGATGGCAACAGTCGGGCTGCCCGTACCGCTGCTGCAGCATGTCTCGGCATGTAAACAGCCGGACACGAGTCTGGTGGCATCGTAGTTTGAGATATTCACAGAAATGATCATGGTGAACAACACGGGCACCGTTACAAGACGAATGTCAACATCGTGCAATTTTGGCAGGTTTTCGTGCAATGGTAGTCCGCTAATTAAATCGAGCTTTTGGAACCGGGTGTCTCATAACCAGCTTGTGATGCTGACTTGGTCCCAGAAAACGAGATATTGCAATTCCATGGATAATCTAACATCCGGTGTTTACGAAGCCATTGGTAAGGGGCCATCATGTCATGGGGCTCCGTGGTTTCGCCGCCCCTGCCAGCGTGGCTCTCCAGTTCACTAAACAGGTGGGTTTGTGACTGTTTTCTTTTACTGTGAAAAACAAATATTCCAACTGTCGGTCGTTGGGTCTAATGTGAAAGTCGTGCTTGGAGTGGCGGAACAAAAATATAGGACAGAGGAGGCAAAAAATAGAAAATAAATAAATTGAAAATGTGATGGATTTGTTTTGTGACGAATCCCTTACTATGCATCAGCTTCTTTCCTTGCTCTTCCTTGCCCTTCCTTGCTTTTCCCTGCTCAGGGCGCCACGGTTCGCTAGGAAGCTGAGGTGGCTTTCGGCAGAAGTGTCCCCTTATCGTAACCTGTAACACATTTGTTACAGGGCACCCAGAACTTGCATAGCATTGCCAGGAATCGCCGAAACCATGGCAATACAACCAAACAAAGTATCGCCATATAGTGCAGCGCTAGACGTTGTTTTACAAACACGCCCGAAACGAAAGTCATTCATCCCTGCTTATTCGGACAGGGCGCTCCCGCCCGCCTGCCAGTCGTGACTGTTGTGTAACGCCGTCCGATCGGCGCCTCCTCCGCGTGCTTTCGAGCCGTCCGGCACACACGCGCGTCCCATCCGCCCGGCCCTGTCGTAACGGCGTCGTAACGGATGGGCCGGCGTCGTAAAGCCCGCCGTCAGCCGGTTGTGACGGAGCGATTCCTTTCGCGGCGGCCGGCCGGTCGCCGGCGGTTCGGGTCCGAGCGGCGGTGGCGCGACGGGCGGACGCCGCCGCCCGCACCCCGACCGCCCGCCGCCGCCGCCGCGGCCTCTTTCATCATCCGCGCCGCCCGGACCGCGGCGACGCCGGCGTCGGCGGCGGCTCTGGCTTTGGGTCGCGGGGCGTGGCTGCGAGTCGAGCCGCCGGCTCTGACGGATGCGCGACAGGCGGCAAAAACGATGACGTAAATAATGAAGCTGTGAGAGAGGTGACGAGGTCGCGGCGCGCTTTCCCTGGAGAATTCCCTGCCTTTGTGCTGACGTGATGGAGTGTGAGCACCGCGAAGAATCGGATATTCGAATGGGGAAGAGACATGGACGGGGAAGGCCGGCGACCGCGGGCAGCGGCGGGAGGACCGCACGAGCGCGTTCACGCAGCTGTCGGGCGTGGGGTTCTGGCTGTGGAGGGCTGCCGCAAAGGCACCGACCCGTCACGACCCTGGGCGCGGCATTGTAAAAAATGCACTCTTAATGGAGAACGATCGTGAAGATCCGTCGCGATTTCCATGGCTGCTGCGATAATGGGACGGGATACGGCTCTTCAGCAGATACGGTGTTAAGCAAAGATAATTTAAAATAGATGTTAACTCCACCACCTACGGTGTGACTGTGACATCAAAACGGATGCAGAGATATCTAAGGGTATGGTTTGACTCTAAATTGCGCGTCCGATCCGGGCGGGGACCGACTAGTGACTACGACGGTTAACTGCGTTATAGGCTATCGGTTATATACAGCCACGGATAATCACAGATTGCGGTTAACTTTCCCTGATTCATGGATACGAAATCGATCATGGCCTAAACGAAAGTGCAAACGATTTCTAAATAAATGCTTTTATGCGTTTAAGTCCAATCAACTTTGGATCTGACTGAAATTGATGAAAGAGCTACCCGATTTTCGCATAAAGGCAAGCATGTTGATTAAAGGGAGTGTTCCACATTTCTAGGGGTGTTTGAAAATGAAATAGCCATCTTGAAGACCATTCGGTGCAGTTCATGGCCCTGCCCTTCTTAAGACCTAAACTCCTCGAGCTTCTTAGCTACACGCCCACAAACATGGGGAGACTATTTCAGGCAGACTATTTTAAAGTCACCTTGCCATTCATGACATCATCATAACGTCATTCGAATTGCTTAAAAGTAAAATAAGCGAAGTTGTTTCATCATATCTGATGCTTGCTTCCACATCTTCAAACGTGAAGTATTCACTCAAGGGAATGCATCTCATCCCATTGTTGAGTATCTCAAATGTGGCATTTTAAGCTAGCGGAGGTTTGTCAGCATCGTTTAACTAGATGCTATCCATTTTCCCAGTAAATAATCGAGAAATGCATCCGCAATAAATGCACCCACAATAGATGCACCGTAGAGGACATGCTCTCGCGCATATTGAACTGTCTCATCATTGGATAATGATAATCATTGCATCCAATTCCAAGCCCTGAACAGTTTTCGACAAATCATGCCACCAGTGTGCCACTAACGCGTTCAAATTTCTGTATGTTTCTTGGCGGTCCCAATTTGGTAAAGGAATCCGTCATAACTACAATATTTTATTACATTTCTGAGACGAAAGCTGAACGGATACTTCTTGTATCTCGCCAACGCTTCGGTTAATAACACAGCACTAGCCGCACCACCTCTGCATCTGATAACTTCCGACTGATGTCTCTGCTGTCGCCTGCCTCGAGACACGTGACCGCATCTCCAGACGAGACTCAATATCGACGACTTCCCTCCTTTCTCCTTTTCTTCCAAACGCTGCAGCGAGCGGACCTCCATTTGGAAGCTCTCACTCTATGTGCCTCGCCATGTCGACACTGTTGGCCCTGCTAATCGCCGCAGCCCCGTCCCGGTCTCACGGTTCGTCCCGGTAACTCACTGCCACGCTATGCGAAAAGGATTCCCCCGTGGTTACGCTGCGTTAAACGCAACGTCCCCAAAGAGCACCGATTTCGGTATGATTTCCAACTACACCTGAGCGTATCTTTACGCTTACGCCGTCCAAAACATCTCCCTCTCTCCCTCGTTGCGTTTTCATTACGCTTCATCAAAATTCCACTCTTTACATGCTTGACGTCATAGATGGACGGCCCTTTCCTTTTGTGGCTGTCCCCTCCCCCCCCCCCCCCCCCCCCCCCCACAGGCCTGCTCCAGAGCGCCGGCAAGCCGTCGCGGCGTCTGCAGTCAGTCGATCCCTGCCAGTCATACGGCCGGGACTGCAGCCAATCGACCCCTGCCAGCCATTCGGCCGCGACTGCAGCCAATCGACCCCTGCCAGCCATAAGGCCGGAACTGCAGTTAATCGACCCCTGCCAGCCATAAGGCCGGAACTGCAGTTAATCGATCCCTGCCAGCCATACGGCCGGCAAGACCCTGGCCGTAGGCCGACGCTTGTGACCATCGGCAACATAACTCACCGCATCATCATCATCACCATCAGCATCATTTATGTCGAATGGGAAGGTGAAATGATCATGATTTTACAACGTTGCAGAATTACGTCGCCCGATGAAACATCTGAATTAAAGCGCACTCAAAATATTTCAACGCGATTTTTAAAGAATTGCACTTCTCGTTGTCCAACCGTTCTTTGCGATACAACCAGTGTTTCCAGAGATAAAAGGTCGTCAAAAACGTCACTGGTCAATGTGGACCGAGCCGGCCCGCTGGAGCTAAACAATGTCCGGTTAGTTGACGTTAATAGTCACTTTGCCTGCGGATTTGGTGATAATCATCGCCAAACTCATCATCTGTATCATTTCCAGCATGTTGTCATCTTAAACACCATAATAGACGTCAGCAACATCATCGTCGGCATCTAAGTCGCTCACCAAGACATGACTCAACATTGTGGCATCGCAGTCACCACACAGGATGACACTCGTGGCAGCCTGGACCGGGCCTCTTGGATCGCCGTGCCGATGCAGCCCGATGCAAATCTGGTCCGATGCAGGTCCAGCCCGATCACAGCCGTGTTGCGATGCTGATCTAGCCCAACGCGGCTTTGATCTGGGTCATATCCGACCTGACGCGGAAGTTCATATCTGACCTGACGTGGAAGTTTATATCCGACCTGACGTGGAAGTTTGCTGACCACATGCCGAAGTGTGTCGGGAAATTCTCTCAACGTTAAGACAGTCTGATAGGAGTCTGATCAGACTGTCATCCGAGGGCACCTAGACACCCGAGAGCTTGATGACTTATGTACGGTTGGGCTCTGTTCCAAGTTAGCAGGCGCATCGCCGGACGCAGAAAGCTATAGTGTCGGCCGTGACGCACTTTTCTGGTTTGCCGTACCGTGAGTGTGTGGTGGGCAGATCTCACAGCCTTCAAAACGGGAGTCTCGGCACACATTTTCGTAATGTCGAGACACTACGTCGTTGCACGTGGACTTGACATGCTTCGGATCTCGCGTAACTACAAATATAGTGCCGAATTCAACTTCTCCTTCTCTGCTCCCGTTGCAAAGTTAAAAAGCGTGTCTCTCATCAACAAGTAGAGCTCTTACGTACCATCATCACGGGTAAAATACACCATCACCAACTGGTAAGGACTAGTCGCTGTCTAGCGCATGAGCCATGTGGACATC